ACCAAGATGGCCACTACTGCAGAAGTTAAGGCGGCTGCTACCACAAAGAGAAATTTACGTTCTTCATCTCGTCCTGCACAGGTTACTCCTGAGACTGGATCTGCTTCTCAGTCACAGAGCCCTCCAGGGGAATCTCAGGGAGAAGTTCCTAGCACTGAAGCTACACCCGCAGCAAACCCAGAATCAGAAAAACAAAGAAAACCGAAAAAAAAGCCATTCTCCAAGGTGGCCGGTGATTTGGTGAATCACATCATTGAAATGTACCAAATGAAAAAGCCAATTATGAAAAAAGCTATGTTGAAGGTTATTGATAAAAAGCATAAGAAACGCTTCCCAAAACTACTGAGAAGAGCTACCTTCAACATAGAAGTAGTGTTTGGCATGGAATTAAAGGAAGTTGATGCCACCAAAAGCTCTTATAACCTTGTCGACAAAATGAATCTCCCCTACAATGGCATGGTGAGTCGTGGCAAGGGGTTTCCCAAGACCGGTTTCCTGATGCATCTTCTGGGATTGATCTTCATGAAGGGTAACTCTGCTACTGAGGAGAATGTCTGGGAATTCCTGAACAAAATGAAAATATATGACGGACAGAAACACTTCCTTTTCGGGGAGCCCAGGAAGCTCATCATGAATGATCTAGTGAGACTGAAATACCTGGAGTACCGCCAGGTGCCTGACAGTGACCCTCCTCACTACGAATTCCTGTGGGGCCCAAAAGCCTATGCTGAGACAAGCAAGATGAAAGTCCTGGAGCTTTGGGCCAAGATCAATGATACCGTCCCCAGTGCCTTTGAGGCCAGGTATGAAGAGGCTTTGAGAGAGGAAGAACAAGAAGCTGATGTCATAGTTTCACTCAGTGATAGCACTGAAGACACACAGAGTGAACGTTCCATTCCAGAGGTTATCACTCTTCCCACAGTTATCGAAGTTGATGAAGAAGAAGACGAAGAAGAGATTATAGTCTGTGATTGAAGAGAGCAGACAATGCTCTCAGCAGTAAAGTGTAGCAGTGTATGGACGGAACAGAGTGCAGCATTAGTTTCTGTTCCTACTTCACATGGGCAATTTAGAGATTTATCTGCAAATATATTTACATAAATATAACAACATTTCTATTGCTGAGTTCATAATCTAAGCCTCTGAAACATTGTTGTCACATTTGTGTTTAACCTTTTGTTGTTTTGTATACCATGTTAAAGCCTTCATCACCATTACTGATGCAGTGAAGAGAACACAAATTTTAATAAATTTTCTTCTAGAAAGTAAGAATAGTAGAAATGTACCTGAAGTAGAGAATTGGGAAATATTTCAGGTGGCTACTATTTAGCTCTGTCATCTATTATATCTATATATAAATAAAAAGTTAACCTGCAAGTGCTTGTGTCTGGCTTCTTCAAGAATGAGGACTTAGTTATAGTAAATCACATGCCTATGCCCAGCAGGGTATTCCCTCCGCATTAGTGCACCATCTGCTCTTAATACGTTTCATGGTATTACTGAGGGAAATATCCCAAAGTGTTGTGGTAGCTGAGCATCCCCTTGAGCACCAGAAGCACCTGTCCTAGAAGGACAAATGTGGTACCCAACGTGAGAACGAAAGGATGAATGAAAAGAGCTAAGGAGGGAGGAAGGTGGCTTGAGACAGGACTCATCCAGTGTCTGTTCGCTGACCAAGCAAGCATGGAGCCTTGGAAGTGCCTGTCCCCAGCAAGAGGTAAACAAGGTGAGAATGCCTGCCCTATGCTTCACACTGGCCAGGAACAGAGGATAGCCTAGCTCGGTGGAGCTGAGGAAGGATACACTGAGTGTCTTTTGTTGAGATAGAGCACACCCAACTTTACAGGAAGAAGGGCTCATTTAGCCTGCAGTTTGTAGAGGTTTCAGCCCATGCGCAGCTGGCTCCATAGCAGGGTGGATGGCAGACGCACATCACAGGGAAGGAACGGTGATGGTGGGCAGAAGGTACCAAAGCACAAAGCATCGACTTCAGTTCCCAGTGTTTTTCTATCCTATTTGGGGTACTCAGGGCAGCTATCACCCACACCCTGAGTCTTGCGCTGTGAATCCATGCCAGTGTCACACCTTCACACATAGGACCCATTGGGGTTGCAGAGGGAGATGAAAGCACAGACCTTACCCCTGAGCCTGACATGCAGAATGGCTGTGACCACATGCTATGGCTGCACTTGGTTTCCAGAATCTCCACCTGAAGCCGGGAATGAAAGCGACCTGTGCTCCTGTCCCAGCACTTGTGAACTCAGTCCCTGAATAGGCAGTCAAAGGTCATCATGTGCAGTGGGTGGTGAGAAGGGAGCTGTTCTGAGCTGCTGGGGTGCAGAGAAGAGCTTCCACTCCACTCTTTACTCTTCTATCGGGAGGCTCCTGGGGGGATCCATTTAGGACACAATCAATTTCCTTTAGTGTGTTCTGTCTAATTTGAATTAAATCATGCTTTGTTTTTGGATGTGTAACTCAAACTCAGGATCGTGCACTGCCGTGAAGTCACTTGTGTTGCTGAGCTACCTTGGTGGGCCTCAAACTACTTTTTGTTTGGTTATGAAATGACAGACCAGGAGTGGCTTCCACGGAACAGCCCCTGAGAGGAAAGGAAGGTTTTGGTCCTCTGAAATGGGTGATTTATTTACTTTTTACACAGTGACTCACCAAGTAGCCCTGGCTGGCCTCCTAACCAGCCAGGGTTCTCTTGCTTCAGGCTCCAGAGCACTGGAATCACAGGTATGTGCTGTGCTGCCATGCCCCGCTCTCAATTGTTTTGCGCACTCTGTGTTTCATCTGCTGAGGAAAGCTCCCTCATTTTGACAGTGGGTGACTTAGACCACAGCGCGAACCATTGCTCAGCTTTTCTTGCTGAGCAGCACTTTATCTAATTAAGTTCTCCTGCTCTTCAAATGTACTCTAATGTCTGAATCGTCCTGAAATAAAAATGAACTCTTTTTGTAGCAGTAGGCAACATCAAATTAAGCATCATTAGAACCAGCACTTCGTATGTATTGCAGGCATTTCAGATTCACGGAAAGCACATGTGCATCAGTTTTTCCAGGAGCTATGAAACCAGCTCCACAGTTGGAACCTGCACCTCCTAGAGCACAGTTTCTGATCCAAATGAAGTCAGCTCCCAAGTGAGAGGCCTGGGACGGGACCCTGATGATGTATGACTGTGAAGCCTTTGCTGTTCCACACCTTTGGCCTGATGCTGATTTTGTCTCAAAGAAAGGCAATCTCATGAGACCATCAGTGTCTTCCAGGGATTAGAGAGATGAGAGTTGAACAGTTGAAGTAAAAAATATTTCTAGGGCAGTGAAACAAGTTTGTATGATTCCTTAATGGCAGAATCCTCCTTATGTACTTGTGAAAACGGCTTAGTATATACATCTCAAAGAATGAACACTGATATAAACTGTAGACTTGGTCTGGAATGACGTTTTTAACTTCAGGTTCGTCATTGTAATCAATATACCACTCTCTTGTCTGACTTTTGCAGAGGAAGGTTGTGTTTATGTGGGACAAGACAGAAATAGGAACTCTGGTTATTTTTCCTGTGAATGTCAAACAGCTCAAACAATCATTCAAGAAAATATACATAAGGGCCAGTGAGATAGCTCGTTGGAATAAACACCCACTTAGCCTTGCGCAAGGATCAGGGTTTGATTCCGCACCACATGCTGAAATGACCCCGACCTGGGCATGCTGAGCCGGCCACCAAGACTGTGTATGGTTATACAGCTCTGTAATCCCAGCGCTGGGGATGCTGAGACAGGGTGATCACTACAAATCTGAGATGCATAGAGAGACCCTGTACCATATACATTTTTAAAAACACATAATGTTTCCTAACAACCTCATTACCTATATATTCATAAGCAGATATGTTCAAAATTTCCTGGACTTATCTTCTGTTCTTCATCTAAGAACAAGACAGATGAGAAATACTTAAAGATAATTCTGGTTCTTAAGTAGAAAGCCTGGATTCACCACTTGCCCATCAAGAACATATCTGTCTTGGTGGTGTCTGGGTTGTATTGTATGTTCACCTACTATTACTCCTCAGAAGCATTCCAGCAATGTGGAATTTCCACCCTGTTGTTTATCCAAAGAGTTGGACCCAGGAAAATGATAGTTCCTTTTAGGGGAGCAGCATGCCAGGCAAAATGTCACCTAAACATTGCTTCCTTTACTCTTCAGGCTTCTCAAGAGATCATGTGTTTTACTCTAAGAGGCTGGTGTGGCCCACCCTCATTTGTATTTTTGTGATATCAAGAAGTTGGGAAGTGTATTGCAAGGTGTGCAGACTAAGACCCACAGAGGGTCAGTACTCTATGGGATGCAGCACCATCAATCCCTTCTGAGTGGAATGGCACAGAATCATCTTTGTTGTTAGACATGGGGGTCTCAGCAATAACTGTCAGGCAATCACCCTTATATCCTCCTCAGGAGGATCAGAGAAGTGAAGGGCTTGGTCTGGTGTTGGTGACCCCTTCTCCTTAGGAGCAAAAAGTTATGCTCTGCAATGAATCAGATGTATCATCTTGATTTAGGGCGGTAGTGGAATATGTCACCCAATTTTTTCAATCAGCCAAAGTTGTCACCCTTGGAAGGTCCCAATCAGTGATGGCCACATCAAGTTACCTTCTTTTCCTGCTGTTGTGTCCTAGGGAAGTATAGGCCCTTCAGGAAGTAAGATCCTCAAGTCAAGGAAGAGGGCAAGCCCAGGCCCTAACAGAACTTAAATTAAGGAGACTAAGAAAAGACCAAAGGGATAACCTGACACTGAATAAAGTCAAAACATACAGTCTGGCCCCTTTCCTTTGTTCTATAAATTCTAGGCTAAGGAGAGAATCTGAGAAATTTTTTTTTCCTTCAAACAGGTATGTAAGGATATCCTACTATTGTTTTTAAGTTGAAATTCTTTTATGACATAAAAATTTGCACAACTTCTTATGTGCTTATTTATCATCTGTATATCCTCTCTGGTGAGAAGTCCTTCAAGTCTGTGACATTTTGTTAACTTCCTGCTGTGGGCGCATGCTTTCATGGCTAATCTACTGCCTGCTCTTTCTCACTGTATCCATCACTCTGGAAAGTTAACTTACAAGAAAAGTAACTTTACTGTCCCCAAAACAATAAGCTCTGGGGAAATGAGAAACTCATCCTGGCCAGATGTGAGACAGGATCTCCAAAGTGCTCAACATTTTGAAGCAGAAAAGCGAGATGTGTACCTATTTCACTCTGCTGTTTCCATTGGATTCCCTGCCAGCACATCCACTGTTGCCATCCTTTAGGAACTTCAGGTGCACCTCCAATCTCCTATCATACTATTCCTGCAAGTGCTTCCTGAGCAGAAAGGACTGGGAAGTCTCCAAGCACCTAGGGAGGGAATATGTAAAGCCCATCCTTCACTAAGAGGGAACTGCCCATTAAGAAATTACAAATGATGAAATTTGGCAACATAAAGTGTTTAGAACACCACAGTAGTCTCATTCTTGTGGCTGCCTTGGAATGAAAGGAAGTTTATTTACCTCATGATTGTGTGGCCTGTAAAGGCCAGCATCCTGGTAAGAGTGCCCTCTCTCACAAAGGGTCAGAGAAATGGAGAGTACAACAGCCACACACTGAAGGGGCCAGAAGCATGTGATGGCTCATTTGTAATAGCCTAACCTCACAAGGAGCAACTCTTCATAAGACCAACCTTTATCTCTTCCTAATGTTAGACTCCCATGACCTAGTCACCTTGTACTTGACCCTACTTCCTAAAGGGCTCCACAGCCTCACCACAATCATAGCTGGTGTCATTCTTGTTTTGTCTTACTCCACTCACTCTTTTCTTCTTTTTATGAATTAAAATTGTATCTCTGAATTTATCCTGGTTTTGAAGGATAAAATTTTTCCAAGGTTACTGTTATTATGCCCAGTGACATTCCATTCCATATAGACTTTGGGAGGTGTCAGTGAAAAAAAAAAACTATGAGTTTCAGCCAATTAGACATTACTTTGATGGCCAAGTGACATTCTCTTCTCCTGTCCTATATATGCTACTAGACTTTCTGCAGTCTGAGCTATATTCTTCAGGTGGAGATAAACAAAACACTCAAACTTCAAATTAGTTTAGGATCATTATGCAGCTGGTAGGCACACTGTAGGGCATATTTGTACTCCTTTCCTATATGGCCAATTTGTGGATTCAAATTTTCTTTTCATTGATTTCAATACTTCAGAAATTCTGGGTGCCTGCTGGTTAGCTCAGTTAAGTGCCTGCTTATGCAAATGCAGTCAGGCCCAGGATACCAGGATTTGATACCCAGCTCCACATGCCGTACTAGACTTGCCTTTAAGGCAGCCTA